ACTGAGCACAGACTAGGCCCAATTATGCATGATATCTTCCTGCTTTTGGTCAGCCACTTACTGACAATCTTCTCCACATATATAATCAAATAAAGCTGATCCACAACTTGTTGACAGAGAGATCAGGATTTCTGTCTGGGACAATATTTCTGCTGAAAGTGGGTGCAAGTGTTAGCTTGGGAAAATTTCTAAACCATTTCCTTAAAAAAATACTATAGTTGAGCCTAGAGCTGAAAAGCCATTAAGAAGAGAGTGGAAGAAGGGCAGTGAGGCAAAATTTAAGTCCTTGCCTTTCTTTTCTAGGTGATTCAATCTTCTTGCCACCACCGGCTTTCTATGCTAATCTTATTGTAGTTGGTGGTACTGTAGCAAAAAGGCAGAGGAATCAGCTGATTCCACACCCAATCCTTGCTGCCTAGGTTCAGAAGCTGACCAATTATTTCCCGCTTCAGATGAACACTACATCAGTTTTACACCTGTTAGCAGTATATATTTTTTAAAAATTTAACCTATTTTTCTAATCAACCTGTTCAGAGATGTTATTACACACCTCTGGAGGTGAGACTTGAACCTGGGCCTCCCGGTCCAGAGGTAGGGACACTACTACTGTACCACAAGAGGGCACTCCCATTAGCAGTATAATTTTTAAAAATTTAACCTATTTTTCTAATCAAGCTGTTTAGAGATGTTATCGCACGCCTCTGGAGCAGGTGGGCCTTGAATCCGGGCCTCTCAGTCCAGGGGTAGGGAAACTAGCACAGTGTCACAAGAGAACCCTCCTATCAGCATAATAATTAAAAAAATACTTTTTGTTTAACTATTTTTCTAATCATCCTGTTCAGGGATGTCATTATACACCTGTGGCGCAGGTAGAACACTACCATTTTGCCACAAGAGGGCCTCCCGTTAACTGTACGTTTACCTTAATAAAGTTTCAACTTTAAATTGGAATTAACTCACTTTTGCTGTATATGCTTAAGAGTTTAATACAATTAGCCAAATTACTTTGATTAGACAATGACATCTATATCGTAATGCAAGCAGCCAACCAAAGGTTCTCACCACTGAAGACGTTGCAATCTTGAATGGAGTACTTTATCTGCAAATTCTGCCTGGCAATTAAACGAGAATCTGCTACTCCGACAACCTGGAAGACAGGTAATAATAGATAAATTCAGATAATTACAGAGCAATGATGGAGCAACAAATGTTAGACATAACACCATTTCAGTAGAAACTAATGACACAGCCATCAGTCAGACAGAAATAGAATCCATGTGGACAGAGATAAAATGTGAAGAAGGATCACACAGAGTCTACAGATCACCTACTAGCTGAAGGGAAGTGGAGGAAGAATGTGAAAACAAATTAGGGAAATGAGTCAAAAAACAAGCAATAATAATCATGGGAGATTTCAACTTTCCTGAATTTCGTTGTCCAGAAGAGGTGAAGAGAGACATAAGCTGCATTTGAACTCTGTTTTAAGCCAGTTAGGGAGGACTCATTACTAAATATAGTGATGAAGAAGCAGGGAGCATCTACATAACAGTCATGATAAAATAATATGGTTCAGGATTAATAATTAAGAAGGATATAGGCATGATAATAGACTGGAGTTAAGCTGATTTGGAATGAATGAGAATAGAACTCAGAAAATTAAATGGGCAACAATGTAAAACGTCAATGGATAATAGTTAAAATAGTGTTCAATAGAGACCAAGAAAAAGAATTTCTAAAAGCTAAAACAATTATACACTAATGAAATATCATGGATGAATACAAGGGAAAATTGAGGACAAGGAAAGCGATATACATTAAATACATGGAGAACAGGACAAAGCAGGTCAAGGGAGAATACAAACAACATCACATTCAAGTAGTATTTAGGTCAGCTCTTGCAATGCCAAAATATACAAAGCTGTGGGCCAAATGCTAGAAAATGGAATTAGAACAATTAGATCCTTGATTTTGACCAGTGCAGATTTGATGGGCCAAAGAGTCTTTTTCTGTGCTGTAGACCTCTATGACAATGACTCTATGAGAAATAGCCTGTCCTGATGGAACGTTAGCAATCTGCACTTTAATGCTGTTCCACTCCAAATATGCTGCCTAAGCTTCTGAGCATGTCTCTATCATTTTGTTCTTATTTCAGATTTCCAACATTGACAGATGTCCCAGCAACTACACACAGAGTGGGGGCCACTGCTGGCACTGCAACAGTAAGCAAAGAAAGCATTCAGCAATGAGCGCAGACTTAGAGGCAAGTCTGGGATCTTGCCAGGGCCAGCATGGCAGTGAGTGCAACTGCATAAACCAAAACATTGCAGTGCAGGTCAAGAAGGCCATAATAAAAACAAACTAAGCTTAGAGTTTATTTCTGGAGGGATAGAATCAAAATGGAGAAGTTAAGCTGAACTTGTATTAAACTTTGGTTAGATCAGAAGAAGTACTCCGCACAGTTCTTCTGATCACCATTTTATTTAAAAAATATAAACACAACAGAAGGATGTAAAAAAGTTTCTCCAAGATTGTAACCATTGGGAAAGTATAAATATGCTGTGTCTCTTTTGAAAAGAGAAGACTGAATGATGGCCAAGTAAAGATACATCAATATGAAAGTTTTGATAGAATTGACACAAAGAGACTGTTCAATTTATGGGGCGAGCAAAACCAGAGGTCATCAATACGAAACAGTTGCAATCAAATGGGGTAAAGGAGTTCATTCTGAAATCTCTGTAAATAATGCGAATGGGGGCTCGTGTCTATGGAATACTGGAGGTAAGTTCTTTAACGCATTTAAGAGGAAATTTGATGTGCATATAGGAGGGGAAGAGAAGATTATGTTGATAAAATTAGAACAGAAAAGGATGGGAGAAGATTCAAGCTCTCAAATACCAGCATGGACTAAGGGGATTGGGGATGAATGGCCTGTTTCTCTGCTACATATTCTATGTAAATTTATGTGACACTTCAACTCTTACAACACATTATTCCAAAGCCAATGCATCTTTTCCTTTAGTGTAGAATTTTGTGCTCAAAGTGCATTAATTTCTATTTAGTCTTAATTCACTGAGTAGCTGTCCTCTTGAAAACTACGTAACAGGTGGGATAAGAAACCAACATTTTGTCAAAGAGGTAGGTTTTAAAGCAGTGTAGTAGAGGGAATTCAAATCTTGGAGCCTACGTAACTTAATGCACATAGGCCTATGATAAAGCAATGAAAATCATGTGCCATAAATTGAAGAAGAACAAAGATATACTAGCATTAAGAGACTAAATGCGATTACAGACATAATGATGAATAGGGCCAAAGAGACATCTAAAAACAACAATGAGAAATTAACATTTCAGCCATTCTCAAACATGGAGCAAACATAGTTCAGTGAGAACTGGGGGTGATGCATGATTGAGACTTGTTGGAGTTAGGACGCAGACAGCAAAATTTTAGAAGACAGCAACTTTACACAGGTTGCATGATAGCAGTCTGGATAGGAAAGGTCTCCAGAATCACAATCACAGATTTTTAAATTGCAGAAGGTCGATAATTCTTGCACCAGCTCTCTGAATGAGCGATTCTCTTAGTGCCATGCTTCCAATTTCTTCTGAAACCTTGCAAATTCTCTCTTTTTGGATAACAGCCTAATTCCCTTTTGAATACTTTCATTGAATTTGCTTCCGCCATACTCTCCGACAGATCATTCAGACCTTAAACACTGACAGCGTGAAAACATTGTTTTTACATAATCATTTTGCTTCTTTTAACAATTACTTTAAATCCATGCCCTTTGTTTTTACTCCCTGTCTATTCTGTCCAGACCTGTCATGATTCTGAATACCTCTCTGCCTTCTTTTTTTGGAAACTGTTTTCAATAAAGAAAATACCTGCTCTGAACTGGCCATAAGAGGAGTGGTCCATTGGTCTCTTGTTCTTGAGTTATGGACACAAATTAAAATGAATTCTGATTACTGATTACTACCTGACTGGAATGCAAGTACAAATCAGGTGAGAAAATATCAGTTTTGTCTCACTTGTTTCAGGTACTAAAAGGATATCAGTGTCTATGGAACTCAACAGCAAAAGGAACAAAGTTTGGAAATTTCTGCACTGCTCGAAGAGTCCCTTCAAAAAGTCATATGGAACACAAGAGTAACTGACAAAGAAGATACACTGAATTGGAGATTAGTGCAACCTCAGGCCATTATTTTGGGTACAAAGTCCAGAGGCTTACCAATTACCTCAAGTTCATCATTCCAACAGCTTCCTGATGTCACAGCTCACACTGGACAATGTGCAAAGAATTGTGGTTGACCCAATATAATTACAGTGCATGTCACTCATGGTACCAGATGATAAAGCTTCGAAAAGAAAACAATAGGAAGTAAACAAAATGGGTACATTTTAAACTTCAATGTACAAAAGAATTGAGCCATGGTCATCTATCACATTACTGTTTGAGGATCTTGCTGTGAACGTATTGGCTACTGCATTTTCTTACAATGGATAATCTCACTTCAAAAGTATTTTATTGGTGATAAAGTAATTTGGGGCACATTGTGGTCATGAAATCCACTGTAAAAATGCGAGTCTTTAAAGGAATCAAACTTATGTCTTAACGCCACTTTCATTCATCTCAATAAAACATGTGACACTGCCAGCATGATAGGGCTCTGTATGACTTGGGAAAAATTGACTGACCACCAAAGCTCCTCATTCTCATCCACTCCTTTCATAACATTATGCACTGTACTTCCTTCTCCAAATGCAACAGAAATGGTGCTTCAGTTTGATGGCATCACTTTAGAGAGCTTTAGATTTAAGAATCGAATGAAACAGGGTTGTAAGCCCAGCTCCATTTTGTGTAGTTTCTTCTTCTCCATGCTGCTGACCTTCCCTGCAGACATGGATGGAATTTACCTGCATAACAGGTCAGACAATATGCTCTACCATGCTTTCAGACTGAAAGTGAAGAGAAGATACATGTCTTGATCAGAGGATTTCTCTACATCGACAATGTTGCACTAATTGCTCTCACACAGAAATTTAGCTGCAAAAGACTCTTGGATTATCTCTGTAATGCCTGCAAATTGTTTTCCCTTTTAAAAAGGAGCAAGAAACCATGATTATTGGATAGGGTGTCACAGCTCTATTGTTGATTATTCAAAGTAACACCTCATTGAAACTTGATGGGCTGAATGGCCTACTTCTGCTCCAATGCCTTATGATCTAAGTGGTTAGCAAATTCTGCTACCTTGGAGCCACAATAACAGACAACCTAAGAGGCAAAACTCAGTAAATGCACTGAAAAACTAACTACTACCTCTGGCTGATTCAAGAGATGTACATGGAATAACACAAAGCTCATTCTTAGGACTCTTAAGCCAAGATAATGGTCCCAGCACCTTGTTGCATACCTATGAAATATGGACGACTTACAGCCATGATGAAAGGAAACTCAACGATTTGCCTATATGGTGATTGTTGTGCATTCTGGGCATCTCGTGGAAGGACGAAATCACAAATGTGGCACTCATTCCAAAAACAAGTATGTCAGCACAGATTGAGGAAAAGAACCTTTGCTGGCTTGGGCAAATTCAGAGGATGGAAGACAGTCACATGTACAAATGTTTTCAGTGTGACAAGATAGCCGAAGCCAGAAGACCTATAGGATACCGAAAGCCTTGCTTCAAGTTTGCTTGCAAGCACGATGTGAAGGCTTTAAGTACTGATTTATGTTCCTTCAAGATACCATATGTTCAGAGAGGAAAATGGCAACTTTACTTGTGGGCCAGAATGCACCACCATTCAACCAGTGGCTACAGCACTTTGGCAACAGGTGCCAACATCAAAAACAACCCACAACGACATCTCATAACCAGCTCATATCCAATACTTCTATCAAAACATGCCTCTCATGGAATGGTCTTTTCAACCACCAGTTAATGTGTACTAGATGAAGCTACCCCATATAAAATACAGCATATTTAATTTTCTACATGTCCATCATTTTAAATATGGATTAATCATGGTGATACTAATGTTCATGTTGCTCCTATCGATCACAGAATATGACAGGATAGAATCAAGCAGCCATAGTATATTCCAATGAAGTGGAAAGATGGGGGCATGGGGCAGCTGCTTCTTCTGCC